AAAAAAAAAAAAAAAAAAAAAAAAAAAAAACGAATGAAAAATAGCGCAGAAATTAATATAAGTGGAGAAAAAACCAGAAATGTTAATGCTGCTTCTTCGACTATGTTAGCTGACAAAAAATTTCTCCTGGCTCTGGCCAGAGTTGCACTGCTTGATGATGTGCCGAACGTGGAGAATTTGACGTCTGTTTCGTTTTCCATTTGTGTTTACAGCTAAGGGATGAAACACAGACTGCATCGCGTAAAATGTCTTCTTACACATGACACTTAAGACCAAACCTTCTATTCTACTGTTTCAAAGAGACTGCCGGCTCAATGCTTCTTCCAACAAAAGCATTTGGTAAGGTTTTAACCGTTTCAAGATGTCCCTAGAGACTATATTAAGTACTGCCCGTCACTTCTTGACCACAAATGATCAGCTAGAAGACCAAGTAAGCGAATCCGAAAAAGGAAGCAACAACAGGAAGTAAGATAAAATAAAAAGGAAGTGTTTTATTTTATCTTAACTTTCCTTTTCCTTTTTTGGCACACTGCATGCTAGTTCCACTGCAACCGTCACACTGTCGAGGTCCAATTACAGCACCGACAAGGAATATATGCGACTTGATGGACCGAAACATTTCCATTCAGATTTTAGTCTTAACTTATACACATTTCCTTTTTTATTTCCTTACATCTTACATAAACACATATCAACTAAAATTTAAATTAAAATATAAAGCAATAACTAACTTGTACTTGAATTTGTCAATTGCTACACTCATATGTCGCGGTTGCTCTGGGCACGAATAGATATTGCGATCATTTTCGGGCAGTAAATCCACATCATGAAAGATGAAGCACTGCCAGTCGTACAGTTTCATGGCTTCCGCGAAGCCAACGTTCATCAGTTTGGCACGATTGAACGTCTCGTTGGCATGTTGCTCAACGATGAAAATCGCGTAATCGAGCTGCTGTTTACTGAGCAACGAATGTAGATTATGCAAAAAAATACGTAAATGCACTTCGCGATCCCTGAAAAATCTTGAACTGTAGATAAAAGATATCTCTATCAACACGCAGATGCACACGTTTATGTCCTTGCATCACAAGTTCCCAAATCCAAAAAAAAAAGTATTTCGACGAACAAACTAAACGAAATAATATATGTGATCGTGAATAAATAGCAAGACGACAGTAAACAAGATAATGATAGTACCCAGTATGAAAATCGTGGTTGAAGTCCAAAAGTTTCGTACGAAATAAAACATTTCCGTAGCACGCAAAGTTTTATAGGACCCAAAGTATGTCCAACTATAATTAGGGTTTATTTTCATGCCAGTACACTCAGCCTTCATTGGACTACTCAAGTACAGACACACACACACACACACAGAAATACTAATAGAAACATAATATAAATAGAAGCAAAGATAGAGTAACATAAACATAGACAAAAAAAAATCCAAAATTTCGACCATATATCCTAAGCTAATCCACCTTCTTTATTGCAAAAAAATGTAATACACAGAAACACATCAACTATTTGGGGAGAAAAAATAAAACAAAATCAATGAATATCATGACCACCCAAATCTTAATCTTACAGTCAAACATATTTAAGATGGCTATAATTTTAGCGAAGGTCTAAATTATTTTCAGACTCTAGATTTTCTCTCTCAACTACGAATTCTTTTTAAAAGCAAAACAAAAAAAAATTTAGATTTATGGGAGCAACCCAGTAACGTCAGTAACACGGGTTTACCGCAACCAACTGTCCGAGCGGTCTTGGTATTCTTGGTAATAAGACTTATAAAACACATATAGATGCATGTTTCTTAATAAAACTCCATATGAGAACTACAGACGCCACATAATTTAATATCTCTTTTTAATATATCAAGCTTTTTCAGGAATTTTTCAATTTTTGGATCAAATTTTCACATTTTTTGAGGAAAAAGGAGGTTGTTCTGAGAAAGAAGGAATCCGAAAATAAATAACAACAAACCTATAAGGCACAACGATAGCAACCCGATGTTGAGCCTGACAATTTTTCGGCTTTCCATGGCCACCAGGCTCCAAATGTGGATACAATGCTTCTATTTCGCTGAATTCTGGCTCATCAAACCAAACTTTTATTGGACCAACTAAACCAGGTGGCGTTGTCGGGCATTTCTCCAGGCTACTGTTCTGCGGCTGCATTCTCAACGAAACATTGATACTGTCCAGTAGTAGCTGGGTCGTTACAACAGTGCCTATAAAAGTAATGTACGCCGTTTTTTTCCCATGGAATTCCAGAATTGCATATATATAAATATACTGAATAAACAGAACCCCAAAATTCCAGAATAGAATCCCCAAAATTCCAGAACAGAAACTCCAAAATTCCAGGATCATGTCCCACAAAATTCCAGCATTACATATGCAAAATAAACTGAAAAACAAACAGGACAAGTTGTGTTTGATGTAAAATTTAGAGAAACTATAAAAACCGATGTTTCTAGTTTAATCTTTTTTGAAACTACAATGTTGTCTTGGTTCGAAAACTGGGGTCACAAAGGTCGGGACACAGAAAAGGAACGTGAAAGTTGTTTTCTAATCAGCAGCAAGCTACTGGCAATCGCGTGAATTAACTTCAGCTATGAGAACCGTAGAGAGAAGACCTGTGCAAATGTCAAATCTCATTTTCAAAGTCAAAATCCTCCTGGAATTCGCTTTTTTTCAGAAAAAGGTGCTCTCGGGAAGTAGCTCGAGTGGCAGCAAATGCCAAAAAACAGAAAACATCCGGTAAAAAGATTGTTAATTGGTCCCCTCTTTCGAGATTTGCTTCATGAGCAAACTGCTGGAAATAACGATTTTCAACTTTTTTCCTAAAAAATAACGATTTTTTTAGCCGAAAAAAACTCGGGAAGTAGCTCGAGTGGTAGCAAATGCCAAAAAACAGAAAACATTCGCTGACAAGGCTGGTTAACTGTTCCCCGCTTCCCAGTTTTGCTTCATGAGGAAACTGCTGGAAACAACGATTTTTAACTTTTCTCCCTAAAAATAAAGATTTTTTAGTCGAAAAAAAAAAACTCGGGAAGCATTTCTAGTGGTAGCAAATGCTAACAGAAACCATCCGGTGACAAGATTGTCAACTGGTTCCCTCTTTCGAGATTTGATTCATGAGAAAACTGTTGGAAATAACGACTTTCAACGTTTTTCCCCAAAAAATAACGATTTTTTTTGCCAAAAAAAAAACTCGGGAAGTAGCTCTAGTGGTAGCAAATGCCAAAAACAGAAACCATCCGGTGACAAAATTCTTAACTGTTTCTCTCCTTCGAGGTCAAATTCATGAGCAAACTGTTGGAAATAACGATTTTCAAGTTTTTTTTCCAAAAAAATAACGATTTTTTTAGACGAAAAAAGAAAACCTTGCGTCGTTATATTTGTTGTAGTTGTCGTACTACCCGAACTGTCATTATTGGTGAGAGTTGATGGTGGTGCTGCTAAATCAGTAGCAACGTTTGAAGCAGCGTGCAGTGGTTGACGTTGACTGCTTGGATGATGGATCTGCGTAACGGTGGCAACTGGTTTGTTTCCTGGCTTCGTTCCACCCGTTGTTGCTGGGGCTGTGTTATCGTTGAAATCATGTACCAGAATAATCTCCTGACGTGTAGCATGTAGGGCCGGGCGCCAAATCCGATAATCATCCAGAAATGAGGTGTCACTGAGCAGGAAATGCAATGCTGTACAGACTAGAACAATGCAAGCAATGATACGTAGTGCCGAAGCCATTGCTGTTGGTGCTATTTTGCCTGTTTTTGTATCTACTGTGGCTCATCGTCATCACTCGTCGTCCTGCTAGAATCACCGCTGCTGTTGCTGCTACTGCTGCTGCTGCTGCCACGAGAAGGATTACTGCCGCCAAACCGTCTCGTCATCCGCTCTTTCACGTGCCACCAATCCTGAAAAAATGCGCTGGGAGAAGGGGTGATTATTATGAGGCGCGAAAATTATTATTCACAAAAAAACGCATGAGCACGCAGTTTATTCCTCGACTTACCCCCTCCCCTCTTTTCTCTCCCTCGCCCAAGCACGAATTAATATCATCAATTATTATCACCAATATTCTCGTCAGCAAGCCGACTGTAGCATCCAGAGTTGACCTTGAAAGCTTAAGTAGCGAAGGTGCGATAGAAGACAGGAAGAGAGGACAATGCAAAACAAGAAGGCACAAGTGAAACAAGACGTTTCGGTCCATTAAGTCATATATGTCTTAACTCAACACCGCGCAACAGGACCTCGTCAGTACGACAGCCGAAAAGTACTTAGTGGAAAAGGAAGAGAAAAGAGAAAGACGACAGGAAGAAACAGAAGGAGAAACGATATGATTGTGGGATAAGCGGGAGTGAGAATGGGGTCTTCTACTTACAAAAATACTCTGCTGCGATCTTCTATTTATTTCCTTAAGTAAGCATCAATATATTATCATCAGTCTTTTCATCGATATGATACTTCATCGCGATTCAGGCGTGGCAACATACACACATACATACACATAAATACGCATACACACATAAATACGCATACACACATAAATACGCATACACACATAAATAC